AGGCCTGTTTGATTCCAAGCCTTCAGAAGTCACCAGGAGTGTAATGGAGAGGGGTCGGATCCCTTACATGGGCTGAGTTATCTCCACTTTGTGAGACTGTTTCTGAAAGCAAGCTAATGGCTGAGCAAACCACATTAGACAAATAGTTGATGACATATAGGCAGAGCTAGATACAGATCTGATCCAAACGTCTCATTGGCAATCCCCTGCAGGCTTTTACTCACCCCTGCTTTTGCTGAGATAAGACATTTATTTCAGACATTTATATTGTTTCTTTCCTCGCTCTGTGGTTTATTTTGCAGTGAGCAAGTTTTCCTGTGCACAGTCCTTGGCTGACCCCACTCTGCAGTGGGTGAGCATCCCGTTGTTTTTAACCCCACTGCCCTTTATAGGTGGGAGCATGAGGCTAATGCCAGCCTTCCTCCATGAGACCCTCAAACTCCTCTCCTTCTGTGCTCAATAGAGAGAGGCAGATGCCACCAGAGGTGGCAACTCTGGGTGGCACAACTGCCTCCAGGATTGCCCTCCCTTTGGAGACAACAAGCTTCATCACATAGCTCTCTATTGTTTGTGTTCTTCACGGAGGTGGTGGCAATTTATTCCTCTGTGAAGGAGGCAGATTAGATGACCAAAGTATCTTATGTATATTCTTGTTTCACTTGGCATACCTGTATATGCTGCCATCCAATTTGGGGAAGGATTCAGAGGATGAATTTGTGAAACCTGGGCACGTGCATGTAGCGTGAGAGTGGCCACTGCTTCTGGACAAGTCATTTTGTATTCAAGGATGCTGAGGCACTAAAGCTGCCAAATGGCATTTGGAAATACAGACGCTGAGTTTGGTTCAATGGGACCGAGGTGCCAATGAGAGGAGGGGGCTCAGGGTGAGGTGTGGGCTGCAGTTACAGCATGCCACCTCCGAGGGCGGCACAGCCAAGGGCAGTGGCATAGGTCATCTCTGTGTTCCTCAGAAGGCTGCACTCCTGGGGCTGCAGCACAGGATGTGGGAGGAGAGGATGTCCTATTCCTCCTTTGTTCCACAGTCTGACACTGGAAGGAAATTAAATCCGCACAGTAAAAAGCTGAGAAAATGAAGGCGAAGACACCCAAAAAGCAACTGCAAAAATGATCTTCTGCTGCTTATTAGTTAGCGAGGCAAGAGCTTTGGGAGAAGGCAGGAGGTGGGGCTGGCTGTACTGACTGCCCTTCTGTGTTTTTCCCTTCCTGGAGATGCTGGCTCCAACGCACCATGCCGCCCGGCACGGTCGCTCTGATGTGCTGCAGGGATGGCTGTGCCATCCCCTCTCTTTGCACGGTGACGCTGCCCTCACCACATGCATGCGGAAACTGTATGTGAGCAGATTTGGGGCTGGTACCCTTGGGTGCTGCGACAGCACCGTCTTGCTCTCTGCTTGCTGCAGTTATCTCAGAAACCCCCGTCCTTCTCTCACCCAGCTCCTCGGCGAGCTGAGGCTGCGCAGCCTTCCCTACGTCAGCATGGAAGCCCGGAATCCCCAGCACGGAGCTGCTGCGGCTTTGCCCCCGTTTTAGCAGCACACAGCAGCGGGGAACCTCCGGTGCATCACTCTGCAGACTGACGGCAAGGCTTCGGGAGCCCCGGCTGGGAAACGTGACCTTGTTTGGCACATCCAGAGCCAAAATGCAACCGGACGAGTCGGTTATAATACGGGTGAGATTCTTAAATAAGCAGCACTCGATGAGCGCATCAAGACGTTTAGTAAGAGCCTTCATAGTCGTTCCCACCCCCGCCCCTGAGCCCCCCTACAAGCGCTCGAGGCAGCGCTGCCATCCACAGCCGGGAGGAGAGAGGCGCAGTGATTTGTATTCCGGCTCTGCCTCTGCTCCCAGAGCAGAAGCGAGTAAAAATAGCACTCAGTCATTTGGTAAATAATAACCATCTCCTCACGGGCCCGGGGAGCCGTGAGCACTTAAAGGGGGGAGTGCGGGGAGGGGGATGCCTGCCTCTGCCTGGCTGTGTGCAGAGAAACCAGGGCTGGGAGGGGATGGGCGACTGGTTGCTGTGGAATGGGAACCCCAAAGCACTGCTTTACACTGCATATGAAAGGGAGGCAGCCCACCCTGCTGGCATGGGGTGGCAGAATCCAGCCCTCCGCATAATGCTAATAGAGGGTTTGTTGCCTGCACGGGGGAAGTAGCAAATTCCTGAAGAAAGAAAGGAGCGGCTTTAAGGAGCAGGCAGGTGTAGGGAGTGCCATGGTAACGCTGTGAGAAAGGATGTTGCAGCATTTGTTTTACATTTGCATTGCAGATCTGCCCAGCAGTGGAATGTGAGCAGTAGAAGCAAAGCATTACCCACAGGGAGGGACTTTGTGCCTGGGAGAGAAGGGGCAGTGCTGATGGGTCGACTGTTGGACTAGATGACCTTAGTGGTCTTTTCCAACCTTATTGATTCTGTGGTTCTAAATGGCTCAGGAGCAGGATATGCCACTTGGCTGACTTAACTCTGCCCGTGTTCAACAATGCTGAGCCCAAAAATCCCTTACTCTTCTAGTCCCATTGCTGTTTCTAGGTTCTGTCTTCTATTCCCAGTCCTCAGGTGGCAGCAGATGGGAACATAGTGCTCCTACATGTTCTGCAACAGGTCTGGGGATAATGCCTAACTCTCTGCTTAGTTATCATATCTGTTGGCAAGGCAGCTGGCTGCGGGCTGGGAAGGAATTGGCGTTTCCCTGCTGTACCTCTGAAACCGGGGCAGGCAGTTCTGCTCTGATGCTGCCCGGGTGTGTGCAGATCCTTCTTGCTGGGGATGCAGGGGCAAGGAGGTATCACTGTCATGCGGCTGTGAGCTGTGCAGGCACCCTCAGATTTCAGCCTCATGCAGGAAGCAAATCTCAGGGGCTCAAACTGCTCTGCTGGTGTTTTCATCATCGCAGGATTCTCCTGCTCTGCTAAAATCCCTGCTTGCTCAGGAATGGTTCAATTTTAGAAATCCCTTTGGATCCTGGCCAGTTCCTGCCCTGCCTTGATGCACTTATTAATGGAAAGGTTCGGTCTGGTTTTTGCCATGAGGGCTGCAGGGTGCCCAATTTCCTCAATTTTCTGGGGCAGATCAATAACCCAGTGTCTGAGCCCAGAACCCCAGCATGTGCCAATGATGGAGCTGCCCTGCAATATGCAGAGCTCCCACCAGGCTCACCTGGCTGCTGCATTGCATGGCCAGCCGTGGAGCTACTCTGAGATGTACAGCTGCAAATTATTTATGGTGAGCAAGCTGAGCACCAGGAAAAGAGGAGGGGAGGGAGAAATACTGTGTTTTCTCTGAAGTATAATGAGTTTTCTCTCGCAGCATACGTTGAAGAGCCTCGCTTCACTGGAGGTTTCTTCTCTGCTACGTGTCTCATTTGGGGACTAGCTTGGAGGAAGGTGGAGAGAATTTCCCGAGTATTTAAGTCTTACAGAGCTCACTTTGCTGAGGATGCTGTCTCATTTGCTTCTGGGTGTTTCAGAAAGATATGTATTGCATACATATTTCTCTTTAACCTTCTTTTCATCACATCCAGACAAGATCAAGGGTTACTTATATAGCACAATAATACCAGCCACAGGCTGTGTCAGATGCTCGCCAGCCATAATAACTAAAGACATGTATATGTATAGTTGAGCCATTAAGGAGAAAACCCTGACAGAATGCATTATCTTATTTTTGGATACAAAACTTTGAAGCACAAAGCTAAGCTTCATAATAGAGCAAAATAACTGTCAGAGGATGGAAGGATTTCCGTAGCTGAGCTGAGCAATGGGCCATCCAGGCTACCTTCAAAGCTGTTGCAGTAGCCACAATGGGACACTACAGATAAATATATATAATAAAGCTCTTACTTGTGGTTCTAAATTGATTCTTCCATTGGGAAAGTAGCTCCCAGCCAGCGCTGTACAAAAGGAGCACAACTGCATGATCTATCCGTAAAGCAGAAAGGATTTATGTTAGCATAGTGCTGAACTCATCTCATTCATCATTTTCCAGTATAACCCAGTGGGCAGAGAGCATAGCGATGTGAATCCAGAATGTCACCCACTTGCTGTGCCTTGTTTTCCCTGCAAAATGGGACAGCAGCAGAGATTTGATATAGCAAACAAGCCAAGATTGCAATGAAGGCAGTCAAAATGAGACCAATGTGTGTGCTGCTTGGAGCGAACGATGCCTGCTGTTGGCCCTGTTCTGGGTAGCACTTCAGTTCTTCTTGACCTGAAGGCACATGAGTAACACTGCCCCAAGTCTTGCTGCTCCAAGAAGGAACTGAGGCAATGGGCAGTGTCTGGAGCTCAGCATCCACGAGGGCAGCACACTGGGGTGCAGCTGTTTGTGTGATGCATGGGGACAGCAGCTTTGCAGGAGCAGTTGCTCGTCAGGAGAACAGCAAGCACGGTGTGAGAAAAAAGGCAATCCGAATATTGATTCTTTTTATGTACAGACAAGCCTGAAGCTGTAACAAAACCCAGGTTTCCTAAAACTGGTAGAACATTCCTCAGCTGTTTATCAGGCTGGGAGGCACAAAGGCATTGCAGATTAAAAGGCATTTCAGCACATACCTCTATACTGAAAATGGATCTGTACTGTGTTGTGTATTGAGTAGCTGCCTGCATTTCGTAAACACACAGCATCAGGCTGTGTGGGACAAACTCATCTTGGTGTAACTGGAGAGCAGCGGAGCTGCTTAGAGATGGTTTTGCTCAATTGCAACTAATAAAGGCAGCTATTGTGCTGGATGCAGTAGGGACTGTGGTGCCAGTTCACCAAGGGCTTTGCCAGGGTGGCATCTGCCATGAAAACACACCACACCAAAACCCAACCTCCTTCTTGGACAATGAACTCTATAATATAATTGCTTTTTCCTCTTTCTTTCTTTGTGTTTTTTGTTGTTGGTTTTTTTTTTTTTTTTTTTTTTTTTTTTTTTTTTTTTTTTTTTTTTTTGGTTTTGTTTTTTTTTGTTTTCTTTTTTTTGTTTGTTTTTTTCCAGACAGTGTAACTGAAGTCAAGACAGATATTTACGTGACAAGTTTTGGCCCCGTCTCAGACACAGACATGGTAAGTGCCACTGGGAAGCTGCCTGACAGGGGAGGGTTGCTTGGTCCTGGGAGAAGGGAGGACACTCAGACCTGGCCTTTGTGGATGACAGTGCCAGGGGAGGATGGATTCCTCCAACAAACAGTCCCCAGTGCTTGAACCAGAAAGGAGGCAAAGCAGAAAAAAGAAAAAGAGTGAACTGACTGCAGTATTTTGACATGTTCAGGGAAAATTATTAATGAAAAGGCCTGAGGTCTGAATCTAGGCTTGTATTCCCACATCAGTTTGTCTTCTAATTAAAGCAGGACGGTGGAGCATAATTAATAGTGAGCTTTCTCAACAGTGCTTCTTGCAGCCTGGGCTCCATGTGCGCCCCGCTGCACAGGAGCTGCCTGGCCATGGCTGCTCAGCATTTCAGGCTGCCACATGAGGACATCCCATAAGACTGGGACCCTTCTGCAGATGGGATCTGACTACTGGGTCCAGATGATGGGAAGTGCTGGGCTTGGAGAGAGCCGTTGCCTTCTCCAGTTGGGCCAAGCAATGTCCTCCAGCCTCTTGTAGCCCCTCCAAAGAAGGGAAAGTTTAATTTTCTGTGCTCACATGGTTGTGAGCATTTCTTTGGCTGCCTCACCAACAGTCTGGTGGAGAACTAAGTCTCTCTGCAGTGCTAGCTCCACCACACAGCCCCATGTGGCTTTGAAAAGATCAATTCTTCTGGGGTGAAAAGTTAACTTAATGTTGAGTATGAATCTCATCTGAGTTCTCTCCATTTCTCTCACTATCCTGCTGCAGCAGACCCATAATACATTCAGCAATCTTAGCCTGTGGGGAGTATCTGATAATTACTTCCAAGGTGGAGCATATTTGATTAAGGGAGCGTGTATAATGAACTGTGAAGAAGAAATTTGAGGTATTGAAAAGAGGAAGGTATTCTCCGTGATGTGATTCTACAAAATGAATTTAAAATTAGAGAGACAGTTAAAGAATAATAAATTATTTCCCCCGCGCATGCTTTGGTTCCGTGTATTTTACAAACGTGTGGCGAATGTGTTTGAGCGTGCCGTTCTGGTGTTAAATGCTCTCAGGGATGTGTGAGGAAAACCCCATCTCCCCTGGAAGCGTGGGGAGAGCCCCTTCCTCCGCAGGGGTTCCTTTCATCTCAGGAGCAGGGAAGTCCCTCCCTCCCAGCTCACTCTGCCCGATGAGCTGGCTCCGTCCCTCCCACAGCCATTACTCATCGCGATGGAAAGCTGCTCTTGTGCATCGTGATGCAGACACAGACTGTAATTATGATGATGGAGGAGAGGCAGGTAGAGCTGTTGTGCAGCGCGGAGGACAGCAGCTGGTAACGAAATGCGGAGGAGGACGTGTGTGCCTTCTCCAGATGCTCTGAGGGACTTCTTGTCTCATTTTCAATTTGGTTGGGAAAGAAGAGGCTGATGGGACCTGACGTACACCCAAATCTTCAGTTGTGACCTCCTGCAGCTTGGCCTTAGTCCCTGGGAAATTTGGGAAAAAGAAAAGTAATTTCATGCTTTGGATGGAATCAGGAGAAGGACTCAGTTGTCATGTGCTCAGTTACTTCTATAAGGCAGAGAAGAACATACTGTAGAAGCTAGTGTGTTCCTTGGAAGAAATGACCTGGAAATGATGCTCTTGTGGAAAGAAGGGAAAGAATATCTACATGGTATCTCTTTTCTTTGGGAGTGTTTCCTTAGCTTTAATAGGGATGAAGGTTTCTAAATAAGATAGGTTTTATCCCAATAAGTACTTTACCAGACCTACCTCCTATGGCTGGATACAGACTCATTCATTTGGACTAATGACTTTACTGAACTTAGGACCACTAAGGGCGGGTCATCCTCTGTGGAGGGGCAGAATATCCCCTATGAGTAAGAGCCATGGGACCAAAGGGTTCACTCTTTCTCTCTTCATATTTGAACAGAACGGCTCTGTAGCCAAGGAGAGAGGCTGAATTTCTTTACTGAGATGCTTTTGCTTAGCTTCCATCTGCTGCAAAACCTGTAGGTATTTCTGTGACCTATAAGAAAGTGACGTGCAGCAGCTTTTAAATGCTGCTGAGAAGAGCTGCAGGAAAGAAATCACTCACAATGATAAGTTTAGTTGGTTCTGCAGCCTCCAGGAGCCCATAAATAAAGTCTATAAAACTGCAGCGGCAGGGGAAGAACAGCTGGGACAGATTTTCCAAAGGCCCCTTCTCTCTCTGAAAACCTTGGGAACTAATGAGATCCTTTGTTAGCAGGACGAGGCGGGTGTCACAGAGGTGAGCAGTGCAGCAGCTTATGCTGATGGAATCAGGCAGTTCCCTTGAGTGATACAAGCCCAGAAAGGGCATAACGTGGTGTGGCTCAGAGGAATGGCAGCCCATGTGCAAGTGCCACATACTATACTCATTTTGCCTTGGGGTCACCACTGAGCTGTAGGGTTTCTGATGCTCTGGTCTGACTTGTGGCTGTCTGACAGGCTTGTAGATGACCAATGGTCCCCCAGCTTGTATCACTGACTGTGAAGTATTAGAAGTGTTGACAGAAAAGGGTAAGACTCACTTTTCTATCCTTTCTCCACAAAGGAATACACCATTGATGTCTTTTTCCGACAATCCTGGAGAGACGAGAGGCTGAAGTTCGATGGTCCCATGAAGATCCTTCCTCTGAACAACCTGCTGGCAAGCAAGATCTGGACTCCTGATACCTTCTTCCACAATGGGAAGAAATCTGTTGCCCACAACATGACAACACCCAACAAGCTGCTGCGCCTGGTGGATAATGGCACGCTCCTGTACACGATGAGGTGAGTTTGTGGCTCTGGGCCAGGGTATTTCAGGTACACATGCAAGCTATTACGGGACCAAAGGATATGTAACAACTGTGTGGACTCCTACTGGCTGTTAGCATAGCAGTGCTGCTATCCCTTCTATCCTTATTTCTTAGCTTTGTAGCGTCACTGGTCCTCCAGCACATTTGTGCAAGTAGCTTTTTTCTCATCATTCAAGTAGACTTTTTTCTTTTCTGTGATGAGGTGAAAGTATTTAATTCTATAGGTTGAGGAATTTCTTTGCCACTGTGGTTATTTTTGTTCCTGATCTCTGATGGGATATGAAGTCAGGATTTTGGTAATGGTAGGAAACATTAGGAGGGGAGAATTAGATATTCTCCAGCAGCTTGAGAACAGATTTGAATTTGTTCAGCATATTACCCCAGAGCCCTGTGGGGTTTGCTTGTGAGAACAGGGGTTTCTTCCTACTTCGTGGAATCCAAAATCCCAACCTGTCTAGTCAGTGATCATCTCTAGGAAAAAATCACCAGCTTTTAAAAAATGGTCTCCTGCAGAAGTCGCAGTCACAGGGCAGCCAAATGCATCATGAGTCCACAGACTGCCTCATTCTGCTGTGAGCTCCAGCAGTGGGGCCTTCCTTCCACAAATGGGGGGTTGCTGGGAACCATGCTCGGCATCCCTCAAGAACAGGTCTGGTACGTACACTTATCACAGACTGCGACAGGTGGAGGTTGTGTTAAGTATGTGTTCATTCTTGTTGAGAGGTTCCTGTATGCTTGATAGCTATTCACCCATGTAAATAATGTTTGCCACCTTGGAATGATGTGCTAATCCACTTTCCAAGGTAAATAGACCTGTAAGTGAAGCAGCAAGCTACTCATAGATGCACAAAAATGGTACTGAGGTGTTTATGGAAAGGTGTACATTTTTGTCTTAAAAAATTATTTCCTCTGCCTCCACCTTCAAGCCAATCCAGTCTAGTAACATGCTTCTCTGGGGGTTTGGTTGGCTGAGATGCTGTACTTTCACCTCTGCTTTTAAGAACCAGATAGGATTTCATCTCTTCATAGCTGCGCTGGCTGCTGATCTACAGTGTCAGCAAGTTTTACAGCCTACATTGATAAACAATGCTCTGCTTTTGTGCAGCAGCTCTCAGATATGAGCTAATCCCACCAGTGCCCTGGGGGTTTGGGTCTCTGAACATCAGGGATCTCATGTTACCGAGGCAGACGGGGTAAATGAAGAGAGAAGCCCAGTTTGACTTGAGGGCTCAGTTCTGTTCTTGGCTGTCTGACCTGCATGTGGATGACTAACACTCCCCCAGTTTGTATCACTGACTGTACAGTATTAGAGGAGCTACTGGCATAAGGCAGAAAAAAGACCCAATTTCAGGGTTTTTATATCACTTCACTTGTTCTTTATTCAGCAAACAACCATTACCTTCAGCAAGTTTTGTGTGACAGAGAAAGTATTGAATTTGCTCTTCCGTTTGCGGCTGGGCAGATGCCAGCATCACGAGGCTTTTGGGAATGAGCTTCTTGAAGGAAGCGGAGTCACAGGGGCTTTTAAGTAAATTCAGCACATTCTTCAGCTTAGCCCATTCTCATGGAAGGAGGGATGATGAAGGAAGTGTCACCTCTGTGTCTGCTCTTGTCCATCTTAAGTATACGTCTGTGCAAGGTGAAGACCCCACTCAGGTGAGGACCAGATATCTTATCACACACTGTTTTGCCCATCACTGAGAACCATAGTGCATGTGGACCTCCTGCTATCAGGATAGACAAGCTGGGCTGTCAGGGCTGCATGCTGCCTCTGGTCCAGGCAGCCCCTTCCAGGTTCGGTCAAGACTGGAACTTTGCCATGCAGTTTGACTCCTGAGACATATCCTTTACCTTGTACCAGGCAATATCCTTGAGGGATCAGCTCTGCTGATGTGCAATTAGAGATGTGTCTCTTGCTATTTATCCTGCTGTGAAAGCCAACTTCTCTTAGTCAAGGCTTACATTTATGGATGAAGTTGCTCTGGTGGAAGAGAACATCTGACACATGCATCCAGCAAAATTACACCTGAGTGACAATATTTATAACTCCCAGAGAGAGCCTCTTTGTCACTGATCTGAGCTTTGAGGAGTCACACACCTACTGTAGCCGGGCATCCAGAAACTGCCTTTAGTTCCACAATGGGAACACAGCCCACAGCACAGCCTCCTCACAGATCAGTGCAGTGCTACAGTGCAGACATCTGATCCCTGGCTCAGGCTTGGCACCGGGGTGATGAGATGACCTTTGTGATCACAGCACAAAATTGTGTTTCTCTATTCCCTTCCTTCTGGCTGCTGAGCCATGGACAGGGTTACTGATTCCTCAGCCTCTTCCCCGTTGCTCCAGCTGCCTTCGAGGGTGTAGGAAACACAGCCTTACCATGTAGCCCTGCCTCTGCTGTCTTGTTTCTGGAGCTCCTACACGATCTGAGTAGCTCACAAAGCCCAGCTAGGGCCTCAAAGCACTGGTGTCAGAGCTGAGTGCAGCAAACCAGGGATTGTGCATGGATTTACATAAGGCACGGACAAAAACTCAGCTGCTGCAGCAATCTCTGGATGTAATCTCAGCCTCAAATTGTGTGGGGCACATCAATAATGTTCTGGTTCTTCCTGGCCTTGAAACATGAAAACGGAGAAAGCTTGATGCTGTGCCGAAGGGATTCAACTGTGTGAATCCAGGCTTTAAAGAGCTCTTCTGCTCTTCAGAGGGGCTGTCACAGTGGCATGTGGAGGCTTTGTGCTTATTGTCAGAGTGTTTCCCAGACAATATGTGCTCAAGTTATGCACTCAGAGGATGTTTTCTTTAACTGTCGGGCTGACGCATTCAGCTGTGTGCCTCAGGAACCTGTATTGCTAAAGGCAACGTGCACCTGGAAAGGAGAAGTGAAACCTTGGGTGAATTAGGGGCAGAGCAGGAGGGAAAGCAAGTCACAAAGGTGTGCAGGGCACATGCAGTCCTGCTGAGCCATGGCCCTGGATAACAAGCCCCATACCTCACTGCAACATGCTTAGGACTGGTGACAGCCAGTCTGCTGTTTGAAGTCACAGGGTCTTGCAGGGTCACTCCCAGCCAAGCCTTTGTGTTGTCTTTACTGTCTTTACTCTACATGATGGAAGTGCAACCATAATTCTTTGCCAGAGAAGCAGCTCAGACACTACAGAACCAGCTCCTGTGGGCATTTTGGACTATTTGACAGCTCTCTGGCTTCATCCCTCCTTGGCCTTAATTGTAGACAACAGCACAAACAGACCCAAGCAGACCAATGCACACAACTGATTAGATGGGCTGAGGTTTGCAGAGCCAGTTTGAAGCTTTTCCCTTCCAGACTGTTTCCAGAGAGGATCCAAAATAAAAAAAAACGACCTATTTTTCAGGCTTGGTTTTCTGCAGGCTGTCCCAAGAGGGAGAGATCTTCAGAGATCACCTCATCTCCCTGCATTCCTGCCATCACGGGCTGAAATGTCTGGAGGCTGCAGAGTGAATTTGGTGTTTTTCTATCTAGCACAAGGATTCCAGTAGCAACATGGCTTTCAAACTCAAACCTCAGCAATTAAACCTAACCTAGATTTGAGCACAGCCCAAGCCATGAACCACCTATCTGTCCTGACTGTGGTTATTAATGACTCTCCTGGAGGAGAAATCAGGACAAAACTCGAGCAATATCCTCAGCATAAACAAAGTTGGCTTTGCTGTGCAGGGTGCCGTCATGTTTTTGTGCCACGCGTACACCGAAGGATTATTACATTTTGCGTCCCAGAAATTGGACCACGGCTCTCGCTCATCCTGCAGCACGAGGCAGGTAACGACAGGAGCTCTAATGACACATCAAAGGCTTTGCTAAGCTGCCGGTAACCATGAGAACACAGCTGAAGAGGTTTGTTGTACTGCCAGCCCTGGGAGAGGTATGTTTAGCTTGACTCACGCTTCTTGCCATTGTGTTGAGCAGTTCAAAGGGCTTCCCGTGACTTTAAAGAGGAAAACATGGCTTCTCACTGGGTGTTCCATTTTTGGTGCTGCTGTGGCAACAAAGCAGAGGGAAAACACGAGGGGTCTGCACTTCTATTTCCAGACGGTTCTGAACAAGTTATTGCTTGTGGCTGGGACGGAAGAGCCAAAGGATACACCAGCTGGAGGATGTGGTTGCTGGCAGTCTGGCTATTTTTCACTTTCTGGTTAGGCTTTGTGATGGCATTTCTAGGCTCAGATGTCCAGACCTGAACCTGAGTGATGAAGCAAACCTCCGTGGCAAGCTGGTACAGGGTCAGGTGCAAAGATGAGGCTTTCTGCAAAAAACTGTTCTACCCAAATACTGCAGATGCAGTGGTAATTGTCTGGGAAGTGAGATACATTCCTCTTAGTCTGACATTTTGACGTTTCATTAGGCAGAGCATATGGTGCTGAGGAGTCTTCTTCCAGCAACAAGAGGTGGCAGGAAAGGCTGGGGGGGAGGGGGCGGGATGTGGGCACTCTGCTAAGCAGTGATTGATGCCTCAGCTCACCTAAATACTGCTGCTAATTAGTGCTGTGAAAGATGAGCGTGTGCTGGAGAGGGCATGGTGAAGGGGGGTGAAGGATAGCCAAGGGGTGCAGAGGGGTGGGAAGGAGTGAGCAGTGCCCATGGGGTGGTGGAACAGAGCTTCTCAGGGAGCTGGTGCACATGGGGCAAAGGCAGAGGCTTCAGGCCAAGGAGATTATCTGAGAACAGGAATGATGCACTCCTTTTCCCTTCAGCAAGCATTGTCTGTGAACGTGCTGACTTCAGGCTAGCTGAAATTGCTGAACCAGACTCATCTCACTGGGATGATACGGTGTTTTCCTTTTTATTTAATTTCAGGAAACTTAAAAACCCTCCTCCAATTGTGGGCAGTGAAGGTGGAAGATTAGGTTGCTTTTTCAGTAGTTTGTTGATGGATTTATTGTATTTTGTTTTTTCTTACTGACTCAGCTATTAAAACACACTTCAGATGTAAAATGTGATCGCTGTTTTCCCACACAACTAAAGTCATCTAGCACTGTCATAAAGTTGTCTCCTTCCCTTGACAACAGTTGCTTATGTTGGCTGTGGTCTGGATTGGGCAGCAGGGTATGGCCAAGACCAATTTGTGCCCAGATCTACTGCTTCCTGGCCCCCTCTGAGACTCTTTCTGGCTGTTCTGAATGGCACTCAGCCACTGGACTCATAATCTGTGGTCCCTTGAGTTAGTGTTCAGCCTTATCCATAGCCATGGATCACAGCCAAATTCTCATCCAGTACAGTGGATGAAAAAGGCCATTCTGCTTTTGGGGGATTCAGGACACATCAGAAGTGCTGAGCAGGAAGAAAAGTCCTTTGGAAAAGCTGGCTTTGAGAACACCCAGTTAAGAGCCTTTTGAAATAATAAAGCAATTGGTGAAGCCAAAGAAGTATCAGGAGGGTTAAAAGGAAAAGTCTTGTGCGGCCTCCTGAGGGAGACAGGTGGAATGCTAAATTTTGTGCATCAGCATTTCCTTTATGCAAGTGACAATGACAAATAGTAGAAGCAAAAAGTCCTGTGCAGTTGGAAAGGAAACAGAAAGAATGGAGTGATAAAGCTAGTGAGGACATGCTTGCAAGCAATGAAGCTCTCCATCTTCAAGCTGGCACATTTCACGAGAAACAGAATGAGAGGAGCAGAATGACACAAGCAATGTGTGTCTAACCCACACCTTGCTACCAGGTTTTTATACCTGCTTCATGAAGTCTTAATTTTCATCCAGATTGCAAAAAAAGAGACATTAAAGTGAAGGAGCAGTTTGTTGGTAGCATTATTTGGGTCCTCAGAAGGAAATCATTGCACCACTGTGCTCATACGCTTGTCAAGAGCTCTGAATTTGCCTGGGTTTTGTACTTCACCATAAACATCCACTTGTCTCATCTATTGGTCATGGAGTCTACCTGCACAGCTACACTAAACCTATGACTACTTGGCCAGAGTATGCAGCCTTGCATCAACCATAGTTGGGCTGAGAGCCGAACATCTCTGTAAGGGTGTATGGGGCCATGTCCCGCTGATGCTGAGTTAGCTGAGCCTGCCCTGTCTGTGGGAGATGCTGTTTGTATGGTTAATTCTGGGGTGGATGTGCCCGTTGGAGACAGGACAGTAGTACCTGGCACTGAAAAACAGCAGAAATGAGCGTTTACTTTTGTTGAATTACAGAACAGAGAGGTACCATTGACCTACCCTGGGGAGAGATGCAAAAGGTCACAGGAAACCACCTTCCTCATCTGTTTCCATTGCCATGTCATACAAGACTAAGGTGTAGACTGCAATGGGGCCATGTGCCTGTCCTTGCAGAGCTCTCCTAAGGATGGATTTACTGGATTTTATAGCCATTGTGAGTGCTTCTGGGGCTCCTGTTCATGCACTTTGGCCACCCTACTCCAGCGAAATTGTGGCAGCTTCCAGCTCTGCTCCTCCACCTCTTTAGTGCCTCTGCTGGGGATGCCAGCTTCTGCACATCCTCTAAAAGCAGCAAGTGAGACTGTAAATGGGTCCAAAATCAGGTTCCTTCCTTCACCCAGCAGAGCAAACTTCATAGCTGTCAGGGTGTTTCCATGGTACAACAGCCAAAGTGAAGCAGCTCTGCTCACTGCTGCTTCATCCCTGGCACAGAGCTCACTCCTGCCTGTCATCTGCCACGTGCAGTCATCATCACCACAGCCTCTGTCCTCACTGAGTAGTCCTGGAGCCCCACCGGCCCCAGACCGCTTTCCCTCTGCTTGGTTTCCCCACAAAGGTGCCTAGAGTTCTGGGAAGTGTTTGCTTCTGTCCAACAAAATACTTCAATGCCAACTTTAGAAAATAATCCTAATTTTTTTTTTTCTAGAATCATCGATGAAAACAACTGCTCTTTACTTTCCCTTTCTTTTTCTCTCTTTTAAAAAAAGTTTTTTTTTCTTCTTTCTTTGTCTTTATTTCTTGCAGGCAAAATCTGCACCCCTTATTTTTTCTAGGGTTCTAGCCTCAACATTTTCTGTGGAAGGTAACCCCAGCATTTTCTTTTTCTTAGAAGACCATTTTGCAGCTAAAGGAGTATGTCTTGCTGGAATATTTCCATTGTGCCTCTTGACCTGAGTTTTCCACAGGCAACCTTTACCCTTCAGGCTGTGCACTTGTCCTTTGAATCCTTCTCTTGCTTCTGTAAGAGGCTGCTTTTTCTGAGCCATCAGAAGTGGGTCTTTTTTAGACCAAACTGTACCACCAAAGAAGATGGTATTAGAAGTCTCCTGGGAAATCATCTGTTCTGGCTCTCCCTCCTAGTCTGCAGGCTTTTTAATACTTCAAGAAGGAAGAGTTTGGAGCTTCCTTTTTTAGAGCCCTTTATAATGGATCCTTTCATGCCTGGCCCCGTGTTCTGCAGCGTGCTGTGATGATGGCTGCACCACCCTTGTGAGGCTGTTTCCTGACAGGGCATCCCGCTGGGATAAGATGGACGCCTAAAGAGCACAAGTTGTCCTGCAGTCTCACAACAGCCCCAAGATGCATGATTCTGCATCTGCTGTGTGCATCTTCTGCAGTGCCACCACCACTGTCTGGGGACATAAGCTCTGGTGCCCCAAGTGCATGTGGCTCTGATTTTGTTCGGTGTACCTGAAGCACACTGTGGCTTCACTGAATAATCTGAGCTCTCAGCTTCTTCCAGGCCACTGGGAAGAAAAAGCCATGTTAGTTGTCCCTGGGAAGCACTGGCACCAGGCATTAATGAGCTCCTTGTGCACAGTTCATAAGCAAACAAAAGTCCTGGGCTTTGGCAGATTTTCTGATTGCACTGAGTAGATAAACTCAGTCAGTAGGGCTGAGTTCAAAATATGAAATGTGGCCAGCTTGGTGTGCCTGCTGCTCTCAGCAGCTGATGGCCTTCTGCCTAGAGACCCTTAGGTTAGTGACCACATCGAGGCCTTTGTTGCCTTTGATGGATGCAGCGTAAAGATGTCATGGCAGAAGGGCCAGGTGGGATCCACTGCAGCCTGGTATTTCTGATCATGCCTTGTGTTCTGTCTTGTAGGCTAACCATTCATGCAGAGTGCCCCATGCACCTGGAGGACTTCCCAATGGATGTGCACGCTTGCCCGCTGAAATTTGGGAGCTGTAAGTACCTTGATCAGTCTTTATAAGAAGGTGGCTTCAGAAGAAGAACTATCCATCACCTGGCCAGTGCCTTCCAGTGTTTTAGAAATTGTGTTATTAGTTACAGAATAGTTGATGATGGGAACACAACCAAAAATTTGTTTCTGGTATATTGCACAAAATTCCTGTTGTCATCAGAAATGAGCAAGGAACATCGTCAGGCAGCCTGCTCTCAACTGAAGAGCAGGCAGACTAGGAGTCTGAGTCCCAAAACCAACCAAGTCTTGATTTAGGGAAGATTTGCAGTCTGTTGATCACATACAGGTTGCTCCAAGGCTTAAGACTAGCAACTGCTCATCTGCTTGACAAATTATTATCTCCGTGGCTCCTCTGGGTATTTTTGACTGATTTCTCCTCTGAACGTTTGGAGGTCTGACACAAGCAGCTCAGAGAGCTGTCCCTGATTACTGCCAGAATTCAATGAATATTTCGCAAGCGCCCACCTGCGTGGCATCTGAGCTCACCTCTTCTGTTGGAGCAGGATTCAATCAGCGTTTGCACCAGCAAGCTGCCCACAGCTGGAAGCCGCTCCCTGGCAGGAAGCTCAGCATGGCTCGGGTTGGTGAGCAGAAGGGCAGTGCTGCTGCCAGACACATGCTGCTTGCAGGACAGCCGAATTCAGCTCCGTGACCACCAGGGATCCCCACAAGCTGAATGGCTCACTGCCACGGTGGCATCCACCCAGAGAGCACAGGCAGAGAGGAGGAAGGGGATCGGGTACCTGAGGCAGCTCCAGCTCACAGCCCGTACCTCCCCGCTCCTGCCGTGTGCTCCCATCATTGCTGGGCCCAGGTGAGAGAAATGAAACCTCCCTGAAGTACCGCCCACCCTTGGGCACAGGAAGAGCCACCGTCAAATGAGGAAACAGGACAGGCAACTGGAGAATATTTAGGATGTTTATTTCTGGAACTAATCTACTCTGTTCACTTGGAACCTAGGATCTCTATCTGCTATGGCATGAATTGTGCTGATGTCCAACTCGGTCGCCTCCAGCTCCGCTGTTGCTAGCGGCGGGCTCACTGCCCGCTGATGCTGCAGGGCCTCGCCGTCTGTTCGGAGGGCTGCTCACGGGGCCCTCCTCGAAATCCAGCTCTGGTGGGAATGCAGCTGATGCTCTCCTTCGTACGCCAGCGCTCCGCTTGAACCATTTCTGCAGACATGGGTACTCTTTCTTGAAACTGGGGTTGTAGTAGCAGAGCAACTGCAAAATGCAGAGGAGAAGAGTTAGATGCCACCGTTTCCAGATGGCAAAAGACAAAGCTACTTTAAGTAATAATCAGAAATTTTAGGATTGTCAAAGCAGGAAAGCGGGTTTGGAAACCCAAATACCACCAACTTGCAGCCCCCTCAGGTGGGACCGGCCACCAATGCACCTGTCCCGAGAGGTGTCCTATGGGCAGGGGGACTGCGTACCTCACTGCAAACAGACGCGGCTGCGCCTGCTGGGCATTTTGCCCGAGAGGCAGCTGTGGGCAAATCGCTGTCCACAATGAAGAAGCCGTGCAGGTGGAGCTGGCGAACGAAGGCTTTCATGCAGCCGATGCTGAGGTTGTGTAGAGGTCCTGTCCTTCCCAGCACTTCTGTTTTGAAGAGGGTTTCCTCAATCACAATGGTGTTCTCATCGTCGCCCCACCAGATGGACTGGAAGCAGTCGCTGTCCACAATTTTACGGAGCTTTGTTAGAAAGCAGCAGGCCGAGTCATGGGCTTTGCAGGAGCCCTCGGTGGAAAGATCAAGCCGTTGTCTTTTGGCACAGGATTGCTCCTGTGAACCTTGAGAAGTGTCTTCTTCTCGTGTCGGTCCTAAGGCAGCATCCCGAGCTGTTCTTTTACCCCGTCGTTGCGGGACAGAAGAAGCCGGGTCTGCCGAGCCAGCATTTGGAACAGAAACTCCAGGAGTTTCTGATGAAGATGTCTCCATCTTAATTATTAACTGTTTGCGCTGACAGAAATTTCTGTCCGCAGCGGTCTCCCCGGCCAACCAGGGTCGTCCTGCCAGCAGCAGGATGGAGCGCAATGGCAGCCGTGGTGTGAGGCGTGGGGAGTGGGCTGGGATGGTCACAGACGTCACCGTGGTGACCGTGCTGCACGACGGTGACATCACAGACCGGTGACTGTTTGCTGGGGAAATGGGGTGGCGGCATCCTTGTTAATTATGGAGATATGCAAGGAAATGTGATCCAAGCTATTTACGCTACCTAAAGTAGTAGGCAGAAAGAAACCTATAATTTCCCCAAGGAAGACTTTTCCAGCAATGCCTTCATTGGGTCCATTTCTGCAGGAAGTTTGTTTCCCCCTGTGAACCTGACTAGGTCTAGTGTTTCTTCTTCAATCTGCTTCTAGGTGACCGTATACCATCATGAGATGCTCTCAAGTTCTATTAAAGATCCAAAGAACCATTTTGTTTCTGGTTACCTAAGAATACAATCAACAACAAAATAGGAATTGAGAATTTTCCATAGTAGGCCTGATGTGACCCGAGGCAGAGATGTCTTAATACAAGAATCTGGTTGTACATATGAATGAAAAAATTCTTGTTAAAGCGTTTTGCAGATAGTGACCTTTGTTCTTTCGAAGATCAGTACTGCAAAGTGGGTATGGACAGGAAACTTGAGAATTATGAAGTGTCATAGCGCCTGGTAACATGTGATGAAAATTCATTTCTAGATACTGTAGGACTTGCGGCATTGAGAATGTGGCGGTTTTGTTGGGAAAGGGAGTAGCTTTGGGGAGGCAGACTTTTGAACAGAAAGGTGTCATGAAGACCATGATGACCGTGTTGGTTTTTGAGAAGTGTTGGGCAAACTGGACGGAGAGTGGATCTTCCAGATCCCTGGAAGGTTGCCCTTGCTCTGAGCCTAGTACTGCCGCTTACAGCAGTGCAGTAGCCCTGCCGGCTGTCCCTGTTGCAGTGTGGTGTCAAGCTCTGCTCAGCAGTGCTCTCCCTCACTGCCAGGAGGGCTGCCTGCATTCTGGCAAGCACGGGATCATGCAGTGGAAAAAGCAGATTGGTGGAAGGGCACACCCCCTCTGGAGCTGTGAGGCTTGGAGAGAGTTCTCCTGAAGGTAAATGCTTTTAATTTTTACTTTTAATTGAAGCAACAAAAATATCAACCCTATCTGTGTGTTAGCTGTCTTCACAGCCACTCCCAGCTGGTCTGTCACAGTCTTCGTCAGATCACGGTGGGGCTTTCCCAAAACTGTAGCTCCCTTTGGCTCATTTGATTAGCAGCTGCTGAACTGCTTTGGTCTCTGGCCATGCTTGGCTGTGCTCAGCCATGTGGCTCTGAGGAATGCATTGCAAGGATTAGTTTGGCCACAGGCTCATTTTGGTGTATTTTAGGTCAGCCAGAAGCATGAGCTCATTCTTCTTTTTCCTCCACAGATGCCTACACAAAAACAGAGGTAATCTACACCTGGACCCTGGGGAAGGATAAATCTGTGGAAGTAGCAAAGGGTGGATCTCGCCTGAACCAGTATGACCTGCTGGGCCATGTTGTTGGGACAGAGATGGTTCGATCCAGCACAGGTACTTGTGGGACCATATGATGCACAGGTTGAGAACACTGTAAGGCAAGATGGACCCATAGGCTTTGAATGCCACAATTTGGCATAATAATAGTAGTAGGACCTGCAGGCTGCGAGCACCGTGGTGCTGTTGGAGAATGTAGCTGGGAACATCTGGGGCAGTTACTATAAGGCAGTAAGTTGTTTAGCTTTTAGTGCTTTCACCCATACTCTGTAGAAATGATGTGTTGTGTGGAAAATTTGCCCCATTTTGTCCAGCTAGTCCTTGGTACTGCAGATTCATTTGTCTTGGATCCCTTTTCAGCCCCTCAGGAGAGCATTGCAGGCAGGGGAGGCAAGTGGAACATGATGATGTGTGATTTTCACTGCATCTGCTTACACAAATATTATCGTAGCTAATAGAAGATTCTCCCAAACAATTGCTTCCTCTGATTAATGACCAATATTAATCATCTTTCTCTCCCATCTGCTCCTCCTCCCTTTCCCTCTGAATTCAGGTACCAATAGCTTCTGTTATCTTGTGTGTTTCTCTCATTTCTCCCGTTTTCTGTGCTTTTTTTTTTTTTTCCTTCTGCTGTATGCACCAGTAGTTCTCTCATTTGAGAATATTTCCTCTCTGGTGCACTTGATTTTAATAGTGTCTGTCTGTAACAACTCGTATCACCTCCCTTGGGGAAACGTACGGAGTCCAGGGGACTAAATGTCATCATATCTGGCCCATCTCTCTACTTAAGTTGTAGTAAAATGTACAGATGAATAACCTGAAATGGCAAGAAAGCTGCTAAAGGCTCTTGTGTGTAATGACTTAGCAGAGCCATACTCACAACAAAAAGGCACAATAACCCAGCAAAATATCCAAAGCCTTGGTGCATTTCTTTGAGAGGATGAATAGGGCACTGAGGGAAAATAGAGACAGCTGCTCTTTTGGTCTACAGCCCAGACCTTGAACCACAGAACTTGCCCTATTTTCTGAGATCATTAAAGTGAGGAAAAGCAGAATATTTTCAGGCTTGTCACAGAAAACCTAAGAGTTTGCAGGTTCACTCAACACAGACCTTTATTGCTTCAGAGATGGGCTAGCACTCAGTTGGCCCATCCTGGAACACCCAGTGGATCTGTGCCTCTAACTGGTTATTTCCCTAGGGGAGTATGTTGTCATGACCACGCACTTTCACCTCAAGAGGAAGATCGGGTACTTCGTCATCCAGACCTACCTGCCCTGCATCATGACTGTAATCCTGTCCCAGGTCTCCTTCTGGTTGAACAGGGAATCTGTCCCCGCCAGAACAGTTTTTGGTGAGTCTGTGAGCATGGGGCTCCCCAGACAGGCTGGAGAGAGAGGTAAATGATGGGAATTAGCCCTTTGTCTAGATTCATAGGGCAGAACAATTTGGTACATGCAACAGACTATCTGCCTCCAATATCCCTTTGGCAGATGAACAAGTTCAGTGCCCACTGGAGCCAGCTCCCCTTGCCCGAGTGACCTGGGGGTTTCCAGGGTGTTGGCCTGGGCTGATGGGGCTGGTGGCATCTGTGGTTCAAACACCAGTGTCCACACCCACAGAGAGGAAGATAAGGCAGTGTATAGGCTGCTGCCTTCCAGGGAGTTTCTGACTTCGACTCCAGTGGATGGTTTCTCCTTCCATAGGATGCCTTATTAATACACAGCAGGCAGAAAAACCCAAATTATCGAGAATCCCAATTTCCAGCACGCATTGGCTGCCATGAGTTGAGTCAGCATTTTCTGCTTGGAGCAGGTCTCAGCAGGGGAAAAGAGCCAATGGGAAAATAAGGAAACGGGCTCCAGGGGATGGCTGAGAAACAAGAAGGAAGGACCAGCCATCAATGCTAGTCTTCTCCAATCTCCAATTCGCTGGCATTGATGAAGCTGATGTCCATTTCTCAGAATAGCTCTTAGTGTCTTCCTAGTGCTTCTTCCACTATATCACTGCAAAAAATACTCCTCTCCATGTTTTGCTACAAGCCAAGTCATAAATATTAACAGTAATCAAGGTATTGATCATCTAATTATATGTATTTGACTGTGTCTGCTTATCTGTATTGGCTTTTGAGTTGAGGAGAGGATAGATACATGGGGAGGCAGTTAATGCACTACCTTTGAAGTTGCTAATGTGCCCCTGGTCAGACCTCCATGTAACAGGCTCCTGAGCTGAGGCAGTATAACTACATGGTAAATATATTATTATTTTCTTCAACTGGTTTCAGATTCCTTCTCTGAGGCAAAGTCTCAGGCATTGCACTTACATTAATAGCTTTCACAAATATATAACAGAACTGCTCTGTGCTTTTCTGCCAAGACTTTAAGTTCAGGATTTACACCTCATGCACATAAACCCCCTGCTGTACCCCGCTGCCTGGGGGCAGGCAGAGCCCTGGTGCTGGAACACCATCCCAGGCATCTGTCCTTATACCCTGATCTGCTGATGCCAGAAGGAATGTTTCCTGGAAATAACAGTGCCCTGCAGATACAGCCTAACAGAGCATACTGCACAAAAGTCACCAAACAGAGAAGAGGTTTATATCTTACCACTAGCTCATCTTTGACAGAGAGTGGTGTGGTTTCCAACATCTCAAAGCTCAGACAGATATCACAAGAAAACGGGACCAGCGCCTGCATGAAGAAATGCACTGATAAGCTTTTCCAACTCACCTTCCTGTGAATCATTTGCAATTTGCCCCTCCAGAGCCAACACCCAGGTACCACAGCTTGTCTGTGCCCCAGGTGGGCTCCCACATCTGCACCAGCTCAGGGTGTGTCTGCTCTCCTCTCCCAGTGCCTGGGGCAAGATCTTCCCTGAGGATATTTGATTCCCTTTTGTGTTATCCTGATTTTTGCAATTAAAAAGGTTTCTTCAAGTAGCAACTAGGATTCAGCTAGGAAAGAGCTGATTGAAAAATTAAAAGCTACCTTTGTGAAAAATGTCTGAGCTCCCAAATTGCTTTGCTTTGCTATTAAGAAAATAATGAGAGTTCCAGTTGTTTATTCTTTTTTTTCCTCTCTGAAAGTATTGCCAACAATATTATTGAAATTCTTCAATTACCAGAAGTATAGCTTAAGGGAAGTGAAATTTAGTCAATATTTTTATAATGTTTTTAATGCATTTTTAATTGAAAAGCATATTATTGGAGAAAATGGATAGCAGTGGCTGCTTGCTTTAATGAAAAAAGCTTTAAAAGGCATTTTGCTGCAGATCGTTTTATAAGATAAATCCTAGTGACACTCATTCTGGCATGTTGGGCCACTGATGTGTGCCTGGCCGTGTAGGCAGGACCCGCAGTCCCAGTGTCCATCCGCTTGGGCTCCTGCCTACAGTTCTTGTCTCTTTGTTCATGCGTGTGGTGGACAGAATCTCCCCGTTTCTGTGGAGACAAACATATCCGTGGGCCAGTGTAACCCATGACAAGTTTTCTTGCTGACTCTTTCCTAGGAAGGACAGAGGACAAGCATGCTAGGGATGGGTGACTGCAAGTGCGCGGTCTGACAGCATCCTCATCTTCTGCTGTGTTTCCACAGGTGTCACCACTGTGCTCACCATGACCACGCTAAGCATCAGCGCAAGAAACTCGTTACCTAAAGTGGCGTACGCGACGGCCATGGACTGGTTCATAGCCGTCTGTTATGCCTTTGTGTTTTCTGCGCTGATTGAATTTGCCACTGTCAACTACTTCACCAAGCGCAGCTGGGCTTGGGATGGCAAGAAGGTGTTGGAGGCCCAGGAGATGAAGGTGAGCCCCGTGGCCAAGGCCAGGGTGGAGTGACAGAGAAAGAAACGCTGCACAAGAGAGCTGCGCTGGGACCAGGAGTGGGTAGCATGCAGCTCCACAGCACTTCAGGAGGCTGGATGCTACTTACTGGGGTCCCCAGTTCAGGCCTTGACTGGAGCGGTTCTTGAGTTGTGATGGAGGAGGGCTGGTCATTGTGCTTAGATGGAGAAAAACACCCAGATTGAATAGCTCGCTTTTCCCTCTGTCCTTCTGCATGACCATTTGCCAGGGGAAAAGGAAATGCATGCATGTTGTGGTCTTGCTCCACTGGTGATCTCCTTTCTCTGTCTCTATCTATCCCGCTGTATATTGCCTGCATGCTGCACAAACACACATATACCACGGGATACCAACCTTGCTGTGTCCCTGCAGTGGGTACCCCTTGCTGTAGGTCTCCCTCCACATGGACAAGCATGGTGCAGCAGTGGGGAGCTCCTAGTACTCGTGTTATTGACCACAGCTGTTGCTTTGTAAGCTTGGGCAAAGAGGGTGGGTGGGAAGCAAGCAATCGGAAACAGCTACTGGCTGCAAATTAGTGCCTGGCATCACCCACGTTTTCCCTTCAGCCTCTCTGGTAGCATCCTTCCTGACAGCCATCACCATTCCTGCCCAATCCCCCTCCCTCCTCACTGACTTAATCTCAGCTGTGCAGAGAAATCGCTTACTGTAGCATGCTGCTCCTTGCTTGTATTTATTGAATCAATTTGAAAATCATATTTGTCCTTGTTCTTGGTTCTGGAGCCTCTATATTTTTCTCCTTTGCATTTTAATGTGTTGTTTATAATTGTGAAGCTCTACCTGGCAGAATTGCATTAACTTTTAGGAGGACAACAGTCAGTCTTCTCGCTGGTATGGAGGTCCCAGCAAGAGGACAGAGGCCTTATGGAGAACCACAGCCATCACTGGGTGCTGAATGCCTTTGTCTTGTATTTCTTGGACTCTCCATCTGCTTATGCAGCTATGGTCTGAGCACCAGACTCATGGCAGAAAGGCTCCAGAGGAGGCCTGCTGGTGGTCTTCCACCTCCATCATATACAATAACTGGGTCTCTAGAGATGGGAGGAACTTTTGTCAGAGATAAGAGGAACTTTTCTGGGGTCATTGGCATGCGCAAAGAATCAAGCAGGTTCTCAAAGCAGCTGTGCCCCTTTCAGTGCAAAGTCAGGATTCACACAGATGTGCGCAATTTGTGTGAATTGAGCACAGTCAAAAAAGCAGCAAGGGCTCCAAAGTTTTTGATTCATCATAAAAGTGGCACTCTCCTCAATTTATTTATTGACCTGACGCTGTCAAAGTAATCATGCTGAAACAATAGGGTGAAAGTGTTTGCACATATGGTAATTGAACAAGAAAACAATGCAGGACCAGAAATGTTTCAGAGGGAGCAGTCCTTGTGAGAGTTTGCTGTCAGATGAAGAATCAGGAAGGACTCCAAATCTATAGGTGCTTTTTCAAGCCAACCCTATTCCTTACCTGATCCAAAGTCAGACAGCTCACTCTCTCCTGGTCTCTGCAGCTCAGAAGCTCCGACTGCCCCATTCTCTCCATCACAATTTTATATATGTGCTACAAATAGTCACATCTGACAGCACTCCTTGAAGGAGAATTCCCTGACCAGCTGTGGACTTTTGGAGAGCTTGTGAATATGATGCGTCACCATATTTGCTTTCATCTTTATTCTACTGAATATTTCCAAGCAGTGAATTTGCTACAGAATGAAGGTGCCTTGTTGGCCCAGCTCCAGCCTTTAATTAGCTCTTCTTGAAACAATTGACAAGCCAGGTGGTTGAAACCACAAAAGAAAGAGGAGGTAAAAAAAAAACTATTGGCGTTTTTAAGCATTGGTACGAGGAGTAAAACTGTCAGTGACAAGCCCACGCTGAGCTCTGGTCTCTGGAGAGCCTTCCCCCAGCCAAAGAAAGTGTTCTTCATTGATGGGATAGCAAGGATCCTCACTCAGTCCAGGTTTGATTGTTTCCTTGCGTGGATGCGAGCAAAATCAATAGGTGTCAGCCCTGCTCTCACCTTAAATGCAGGCACAGCAGCAATGCTTCTCTTCTGATTTAAAATAAATCAGTGCCTTGCAAAAGCTGCTGGTTGCTGACAGGTGCTCCAGAACTTCCAGTTTCTCAGGGCTCATCCTGTTCTTTCTTTCTCTTCTTTGTCCATTCCATCAATTTAGAGGGAGAATTCTGTGGGGAAAAGCAAGTTTTGGGGTGTATAATATAAATGGTGGGCTGATCTTGGTGAGTCACTGATCTCTACATCATAAATGATCATGCTGTGGCTACAACCACAGTTGGGTTTTGATTCTGGCTGGGAGCTACTCTGCACATACTCTGCAGTCCTTCTCTCATGCAAATCAGACAGATACCGCCATTGATCTCACAAAAAAATTCTTTTAATGCACACTTTAATATGATTTGACTAATACTTCTTGGGCCCAAATATTTTCCAAGCTTTTCCTGTCCTCTACTACTACTTTTTCATTGTAGATGATTCTGTATTTTTGTGTGCATAGCAGCTTCAACCAACGTAGAGGTGCCAATTGAACTGGAAGGAGTATCTGAATCCAATGCAGAAAACTTCTTTATTAGGGATGAATTTTAAGAAAACATCACTGGGAAGAAGATAGAAAACGACAGTAGCTGGAGAGAAGTGAAAGGCCAAAGAGATTGGCTCCAGTAGTCAGTGAAACTCCCTATCTCCAGCATCCGTAAAGAATCTTGCTAAAAGGACCCACAAATATGTACAAATATGCTCCAGGACAGAGGGACTGTGTATGAGGCCCTGCTGCACTGCATCCATCTCAGCCATGGGGGTGGCTGTCTTTGGAGCCAACAAGGTCTCAGGAAGCTGAGAGAGGCAACCCTTAATGGTGATTTCTCCATTGGAAACTCATGAACGCTGTCATCTCTCCCTCATGTTGGAGCATACTTGGAAGACAGTAGCCTAAACTTATTTCCACTGGCATGTCACAGCTGTGCATAAAGTCCATTTTAGCTCTGTATCTGTGCAATGCTCTGCAGTGATGCTTGGTGGAAAGACACAATAAAAACAATTCAATTAGCTGCACTCAGACACGTGACAACAAGTAAGAATACACTTCAAATGGAGTGAAGCCAAGCTTTTTGTCCAGCCTACCCTTTAGCAATTCTAAGTCTGCCCCTTGACCATGGTCATCTGAGAATCATTAGTTTTTCCCCTTTGTTTCTTTCTACCCATGGCATCTTTGTTTCAGTTCCCTCCTTCCAATAGAGGAAGAACAAAATTTCATAGGCCTCCATCTTCAACCAATTTACAGACTCACAGAGTGGTTCAGACCCATCTCTTTTTTTTCTTTTTCTGCTTAGTTATGATAAATATGTTTTCGATGGGACTTTTTCCTTTTCACTGCAGCCCATGTCTCCTTCTTTGTCCTACCACATTCACACGTGACCTGTGGCTCCTCACAGTACTGCAGGTGATTCATGTTTTCAGCATCTTCACTAGACTCCACACATCATTCTTCCACACCATTTCACCCTCTTTCTCTCAACACTATCCACGTGGCATATTGGGCTGACCAAACTTCTGAGCCTTTGTCTGCAGATCCAGAAATCATAAAATCATCAATCAGTCACATGTAATCAGAATGAAGGCAAGATGGGAGAGGTGAGTGATGCACCACAAATACTGTGTTCGTTTTTAGGTTCAGTTTCTCTCATTACAGGAAAGACACTGAGTTGCTGAAGTGCATTCAGAGAAGAGCAGTGAAGCTGCTGACGGGACTGGAAGACAAAATGTTTGAGAAATGGCTGAAGGAACTGGGGTCGTTTAGTCTGCAGAAAAAGAGGTTGAGAGGAATCCTAGCTGCTTTTTCTAGTTAGCTGAGAGGAGGTTGTAGTGAGATGAGTGTCGATCTCTTTTTTTCAGGTGACAAGTGCTAGAATGCAAGGAAACATCCTCTAGTTGCACCAGGGGAAGTTTAGATTGCATGTCAGGAAGCATTTCTTAAGGGAAAGGATGGTTAGACATAAAATAGGCTGCCCAGGGCTGTGGTGGAGTCGCCATCACTGAATGTATTTAGGAGATGTGTGGATGTGGTGCTTAGGGACATGGCTCAGCTGTGGACTCGTAGTGGAAGGCTGATGGTTAGAGTTGATGATTGTAAGGGTATTTTCCAGTGTAAATGATTCTGTGATGCCAGGGGTCACACCAGCAGGTGACAGTATCCTGACTTCAACATAGACTGCTTGTCAGTGCAATATTACATTGCCACAAGCCCTTATCTCTTCTCAGTCTGTGGACATCTCAATGTAAAACACCTCATTCCTCAGGCACAATCAAGGTTCTGGCACACTCCAGAGGGGAGCTATGGCTGGCATGAGGGAGAGGTGCCGTGTTTGCTGGAACATCAATTGCAGTTATAGAGTACAAATATGCTCCAGACTGGGGCTACTTGGAGGCATTAAGATGACTTTTCTCTGCAATAGCAGGAGGCAAATACATTGCATTTCTCCAGTAAAATCCGTGACCCAGAGGCGATGGTGACTCTCAGTGTCCCATCAGGGCAAGAATGCTTCCAACCCAAACTTCTAAGCAGGGAGCAGCTGCAGAGAGCTAAGTCTCCAACAGGTCATCAGCAGAACCAATAATTCCCACAATTGCAGGGCTTTATCCTTTAGCTCCTCAATAGAGGGCCTGGGAGACAAGAATATCTGACAGCTGCCATTGTAATCCAGCGTGTGTATTTGTGGAAGAACTTGTCAGACTACAGTATCCAGGGAACATGTTTATCTTTAGACCAGGTTTCACAGCTTTTCCCTCAAGACAGCAGCTCAGACTTGGTCTCCCAGAGCCCAAACTGGGCCACAGAATCAGTAAAAGCTTTTCAGCATAGATGTGTTAACTAGGACAAGTTTTCAAATGCAAATGTGGGGTTTCCTCCTGTTTTTCTATTCTTCTTCTGTTCCAGTCTGACATGAAACTCCTTGCAGATAAGTATGCAGGGGGAAAGCGGAGGGCTACTTTGCAGCTGATAAGCACATTTTGCTTTGTTTAATTATCAAAATCTTGCCTGAAACACTTATTTACAAAATGCAATTTAGTGACTTCAGGCTGAACCATTCCTTCCCATATCTCAGGAGCCTGTTTTCTCACATGTGTGCCTTGATGGGAAGCTGGTACCCTGGAGGTTTAGCAAAGGCTCCCAGCTCTGTCCAGAGCAGAAGATAGCTGTGGACAACTGGAAAAAGTCACTCTAAAAGTTCTGGAGCAGAAAAGCTAGCCAAGGCTGAGAATGTCATGTCACTTACAGACATCTTATTCATGTAATGTGGCTGATTAGTACTCAAATAATCACAGTGCACTTCAAATTACATTCTGCAAACAAGTGTTTTTCATTTCATTACTGATTATTAATTATTGTATTGCCTCCAGTAGCTATGTTATTAACTAATCGTACTAAAACATATTTGAATGCTTTAGAAAGTAGAGCACCTTTTGTCCTTCATTTGCTTCTTGTCAGCTCTTTAGCAGGAAAAGTTCACCTCCTGTATAGAGGGTAAAGGCTGACATGGTTCCAACAATTGCGGGAATCAGTCACTCAGTTAATCATTAAAGATCATAACAACCTCTTCCACATTATCCATAAAGGAGTATGAATACGGTCTGATCAGTGGTTTAGTCTGATCTGGACACTAAAGACCTCATTCTAACAGCAGGTTAATTTCTGTAATTGCTGTAATTACTGTGAGGCTGCAGTCTGAGCTACGGTGTTATTGGAGAGGGATTTAAAGATTGCACAGAAGTCTGCTTTTTCTAAGATAACCAGAAATATTCCTGGTGGCTGTGGATGCATTTACAACAGAACTGCAGCCTGAAACTAAAACCCTTGGAGCATCTCTACAGGACGGATGGTCAATCTGCCTTTCCAGTTCCCTGTGCTACCCAGAGGTACTGCCTGCTACTGGTTCCCAGGCGGGGAGGCTGAGATGAACATGTCCTGCTGGCTGTTTGCTCTCCCCTTCTCCTGGCTGTCATGTTGCACATGGCTCCCATGTGCTTACATGCAAGACCGTACCAAGCAATTCTAGGGAATGGTTGGATGGGCCTAATCTTGTGTTCCAGTTGTTTTTGAATAGAAGATGAGATCCAAAATCACACTTTATTCTGAGTTTACATTTTAGATTCCCACTCTGATTCATTGCTGTGTCTAGCTCTGACTCTGGGTGTCATTACAGTGGACACCATATGGATGCACAGAGGTGCTGGGATGTGTAGGATGTCTGATGTCTGCACATGAACAGATTTCATTCAGTGGGCTTTTCCCAATAGATTTGAATTGTCTCATACACTATAGCCTATAGTGCATCTGGTCCCAAGTCCCTGTCAGTAACAGAAAGATCTCCAGAGTAGGGGAAACATCCATCATTATTTCTAGCTCTATCTTCCTGTCCACTCATCTTCACTAACACTGGAATTTTCTGCCTTAAGCATTCTCCTTCATCCTTCAACACGTTACATCAAACACGTAAGTGCATCCTTTCCGTTTCTTATAGAAGCTCTCCACCCTTCAGCACAGACAGCATTGATGTCCCTGCAGCCCGTGGCAGGGCTGTACTTATCTGCCTTGATTTGCAGCAATCCTTAGATATGAAGGCAAGATGAAAGTGAGTAAGGGCTGACAACAGCAGGACTAGGGGAAATGGATCGAAGTTGAAGGAGGGAAGATTTAGGTTGGATGTTAGGGGGAAGTTCTATACAAGGAGAGTGGTTAGGCCCTGGAACGGGCTGCCCAGGGAGGTTGTGGATGCCCCGTCCTTGGATGTGTTTAAGGCCAGGTTGGACGGGGTCCTGGGCAACCTGATCTGAATGTGTGTGTTTGGTGGCCCTGCTAGGCAGGGGGGTTGGAACTACATGATCCTTGAGGTCCCTTCCAACCCGGGTGATTCTGTGATTCTGTGATTCTGTGATTCTGTGAAAGGTTTCTCTCTACTCCTATAGCATCTGAAATCCTCAAATCCAGGGCTATGGCAAACGCTTCCTGTTGGCTCTATATCGTACTTAGGAGGCCATGCAATGCCCTAAGGAATCCCAGAGGCATTTTGGACATCATGATGTCCTTGTGAAATACGCAGGCCACCAAGGCAGTGTAAGATAGAGCCTTTTAGGATCATGGTTCAAAAATACTGCAGTGCAGTCAGACACATTATTAAGGCCACTGGCTTCCTGCTTAAAAACAAAACAAAACAAAACAACAACAAAACAAAAAAACCATAATTGTCAATGGATGTTTCTTTTTCTCACCTGATTTGGGAAACAGACTGGCAAAGCAGAAAATCAAGTTATTCTCCTAGGATGACCACAGTGGTTCTCATTCCTTTCTAAAGAGTGCATTCCTGATTCATCTCTCCATGGCTGAACCTTAAATGCAACAGAAAACAGAACCCAACTGAGGTAGAAATCAAGGAGTTTGTATATAGTTTGAGCTTGCCTTCACTTCTACTGACCTGGCAATATGCAATATAGACTTGGCAGCACTCAGTTAACCAAAGCAAAGGATCACCCATCTTGGGCAGATCTTGCTGAAGTGCAGCTGCACACAACTTCACATATCACGGCCCTGATGTAAGGAACTGCAAGGAGGCCACAAACATAGCTGTGTGGCTACAGTTATAGGACCTGAAACCAGACCTAGCACCTAGCTGCTAGGCCAGGACTTCTTTGTACTCCATGCTTCATGCCAGGCTTACACAGATCAGGTGATGTAATTGAAGGAGATGTGGTCCAGCACATCCCTCTGCTCCAGCAGCCCTTGTGGCAGATGTCACAAGTTCTGGTCACCTTCTCACCACATTCTCCTTCCTTCCACAATGCTGCCTTCTCAGTCTCTTGCTCCTTGCATCCTTTCCCACCTTCTCAACCAGTCAGGCAAGTGAACTCAGAGGACAAAATGTTCTCTGTGCAATTCTACAGTCACTTCATCTCTGTTATGTTCTTCTTCCACCTTCCCTAGAAAAAAGAGCCAGTGGCACTAGCGAAGAAAACCAACAACACCTACAACATAGTTGGCACCACATATCCCCTCAACATTGCCAAGGACCCTGGCCTGCCCACCATCTCCAAGAGTGCTGCTGCCACTGCTACTGCCACCAACGTACCCCCCAAGATGCCCCGCTTAGAGGAGAAGTTCCCAGAGAGTAAGAAGACGTACAACAGCGTCAGCAAGGTAGACAAGATGTCCCGCATCGTCTTTCCAGTCCTCTTTGCCATTTTCAACTTGGTCTACTGGGCCACCTACGTAAACCGGGAGTCAGCTATCAAAGGAATGATCCCCAAACAATAAAACGAATCAAACAAACCTTCCATCAGTGAGCACCATCCAGGCAGGAATTCTCCAGGGCTTTCTTCTTTTCCTGTTTTGTTTAATTATTTTTGTTCATTTGAAATTAATACTATTATTACTATTAGACCATTCTTTTACAATGTCAACAAAACTGTGATTTTAATTTAATCCTGTATATGTCTATTTTTGTTTTACTTTGATGATAAAAGGAAAGGAAAAGGATCATAACAAGTTGTGCCTCTGACATCGTGAGTCTGATGTCCCCCATCTGTCCAAGTCACCCTGCGCTTCCATCTCTCCCACTTCCTGCCATCTGCATGATCTGCACAACACTGCCATCCCATGCTCCACTCCACTGGGGGCTGCTACTATTGCCTCCCTCCTCTTCTGTGATGGACTGCCCTAGCGTGATGGATTCTCCTAGTGGCTTGGACTCAAGGACATGGAAGCCTCCAAGGCAGTCTGCTAGGCTGCTTTTTGGTGCCCAGGCTGTCAGCAGAACCATGGCAAGAGTAGAACAGTGTGATAGTATCTTGTAGTCACCTATAGGGCTTCCTCTTCTCTGTCACCACCAAACCCAGCTGCTGGTTTCCTCCATGTCTCTTCCCAGATGAGAACAGGTGAGAAAGGCCTTGTCCATTGTCCTATATTCTTGGGGCAATCCATCTTAGAGGATGTTTTCTGCCAGAGAAATAATTTTTCTGAGTCATTCAGCAAGTCTGATGCCTTGGACAGGATACAGTAGCTTTAAGGCCACATGCATTCAGCCCCAGGACTGGAAGCCATAGAGATCATGTTCAGATGTTCAGATGATTTATCACTTTCTCTCTGTCCACTTCCCCTTCTTGGCATCTCCTGTGCTCCCCATTCATCGTCCTTTGGTTATTCAGCAGCCCTCAGCAATATCTCACTGTTTGAAGAGGGATTTAGGCATATAAGCCCATGCCTTTCAGAAGAGCCTCACTAACAGAGAGGAGCACAGCTGTGGCGTGTCCCATGGTACATTCTTCTCTGATGCCCTAGAGCAGCAGCAGTGGTGATTCAGGCCCTTTCCTTCCATGGTGCACCATGAATCACTTTGCCATCTGTGGGAGATGAGGCTGCAGTTGATCCCCAAGAACCTACCTGTCCCCCATGAGTACAGCTGAGCATCCTCACTACCCAGGGAGAACAGCAGAAGGGGTCCTTTGAAACAGCAGGGTGAATTTGCTGTCCAAGAGAGATGTGTGAGTCAGGTGCCATCCCACAAAACCACTGAGACGAGACCCAGCTTTAACACCTGCAAACTCTTCCAAGAAAAGCCCTCTAGTACTTTCTGCTGCCCTTCTGACCACCCCCTCGACCTGCCCCCAGCACATTTTGGGTCCATACAGTCTGCCCAGGGACTCGGAACCCCCAGGTTGATGTCTTCAGCATTGCTTTGAGCCTCTGCACCTAGCTCAGTTCTCCATCTGGTGCATGAGCAGGGCTCACCCCACCTGGAATATCCATGGGGACAGTGCAGGGCAGAGCAGGATGCTTTGTCCTGTGGTATGTGCGGCATTGATGGTGTCCTGCCTGTCCCTTACCTCTCTTGCTGGCTCAGCAGCAGTGCACGAGGAGAGGAACTCAGAGTCATTTGGCTCAGCCCCTGGCATGGTCCATTCATGAGCACATCCCCACCAGCAGACAGCATGGGGTGAGAGACAGCACATTCCCAAAACAGATGCTGAGGAAACTGCCTCTATTCCCAGCATCCGCACCCCAAGCTGCCCATGACATTTCTACAGTGCCTTTCATTCCCAAGGGCTGTGAGGAGGGAAAAGCCCCAGCATCAGGTTGGAGGAGTGAAGGGAGGGTGCACCATCCCCAGCTCTTCTGCTGGACAGGGGGCACAGCCATGCTGCTTTCAAGCCACCTGAGCACTGCTCCACACCCATTGCTCCCCTAGGACCCTCCTGCTCTCCCCATGCCAACACCATCCTCTCCAGCAGCGAGTACCACTGCTGCTGCCCTCCGTCTCCTGGGCTCCCTGGCAGTCACTGCTGCACTAACTGCCGTGAGGCTGTTTGGTTTGTACTTGGATGTCATTTTCTTAAATAAGCTAGATGAAGTGTATCTCATAAAACATTCATGTCACTATAATACTCAGGCCTAAGTGAATGAAATAGAAACCCTATAAAAAGCAAAACAAACACAATAAAATGGTAACAAAGAGTATACTGTGTTTACTAATGGAATTATGTCAAAGGCAAGCCTAAATATGAGATGCAGTGACTTGGGTCTCCTCCTTAGTCCCCTCTGCTCCCCAGGCAATCCCCGGAATCCCCTCTGTCTGAGGGTGATCCCGCCTGGCTCATTGCACTCAGGTGCACTTCTTCTCCCCTCCAGTTGCCCAAGGCTTTCATTCCTCCCCAGGATGCTGCCCTCCAGTGCCACCCGCCTGCTGGCCTGCCTTTGCTCTCCTGACTCTGAAAACTTTGCTCTCTGCTGGGTAAAAGCTCCCTCCCTGGATCAGTGTGAACGCGCCTTGAAAGCCAAGCCTGTTCCCACCACAGCCTGGCACTGGTGCTGAGTCTTCCTGCCAACTGGAAGCAGAAGTACCGGCATCCTTTGGTTAAAGACAACAAACCAAACAGGATTTGTAGTTTGGCTTCCAAGCAGGGAAGCATTTCAGGAAGATAGTTATAAATAAGTGGTTTAGCATCTCCTGCCAGCAGACATCACAGAGAAGATAATGTTCTTTTTTTAAAATCTGTCAGAGGCTCAAATTGGGATGTTTCCCTCCCAGCTAACATGAAGCTGCTGATGGGTCCTTTTTCTACAGTGCTAGCCCAGCACCAGCTACTGGGGTTGGATCCTCATTGTGGCAGCAGCTAAGGGCTCTGCTTTCATAACTGGGGCTGTGCAGGAATGGACCTGCATACAGCCACCACTTGTTTGCTCCACAGAAAGCCAGTTGTGCACTTCAGTGCTCCAATATTTATTTTCTTTTGGCAAGACCCAAAGCCCTCTGACTTGAGGAGAGTCTCCCAGGAAGGAACTAGAAGTCCATATAAGTGACCAAAATGATCTGTTATTCTGCACCCCTGCTCTGCAGCCTTAGACAGTGCAGTTCCAACCTGCAGCTACATTCCTCCTCAAAATGGCAGGTGGATGTCTTGGCATTGATACCTTGCCTCTCCCCTGCTCTGAAACCACATGTAGGCACAATCAGTGTGTTTTTGGAGTGCTCTGTGCTCAGGAAGGCAGGGGCTGGCTGGGCTGAGGCCATCCAGGCAGGCAGGAGAGGCAGTGCATGCTGTTTGTGGTGTAGGAGGGAGGGGAGAAGTAGTCACTGGGTGCCACTCACTATAAAGGGCTGATAGAGATACCTCCACATGATTGCTCTGAAAATCTTGAACATCACCAAGCAGGACTGTGACACTTGAGTGCTCCTCCATGCACCAACTCAATGTGAGCAAAGACAGCTCCACCACTCTCTAAGTTGTACAGAAAGTGTTGAGGCCAACACAGTTCATCTTCTCCTGACCTCCACCAGCCTGGTGGCACTGGTGAGGACCCAGTTCATTTGTTGTAGGACCTTGCCAGTATGAGCACACCCCGTGCTTGCTGTTCCCAAACACAAACCATGTAGCCCCTTTGTGCATGCCAGGTGCTTGGGACAGTGGGCAGCCAATATGTGGCCATAGCAAAGGTCCATCACAGCAGGGCAACCCTTGCTGCAGTCCTCTTCCCTAAACACTGTGTCTCTCTTGAACCCCCCCGATCCAGTATCTACACGGGCTTTGCAGCCTTGAGAGAGACATTTCCCTGCCTCCTTGGTGGTAGGGAGGGCTCAGCCAGGGGGAGAGGCATATTCATGAAAATGGAAATGCTCTATTAATGCTGATGTAGGGGAAAAAACATTGAACAGTTCACTAAGCTTCTCTCTGTATCAAGCTAAGCTACCCCAAAGGCATTTTTGGCTAGATGCCACAGCGCAGATGGGATTGATGGCTTCAAGGTATAAATATTTACTGTTTGACCTTGTTGTTGTTCAGTCAGCCAAGGTTTTTATACATATATATACGTGTGTGTGTGTGTGTGTATAGTTATGCTCACGAACTCTTTATATCTAAAAGTCACACTTCTTTCTCTTTGGAAGGGAAAACTGCCACTTTAAATTGTTTTACTTTATTCTCATTCTCTTTGCTAAATCTTCTGTAAAGAGATTCATCTGTCTCTGCAGATCTTCTGATGGCTTCGGGAGGCAGAGGGAGTGAGAGGAGCAAGGCAGGAGATTCTCTGCACTCCCAGCCCTTAATGGAGACATGCTAGCTGAGACCAAGGTCACTGCTGGCAGCATTGCTCACACCTTTTGGGAAAACTTAGTGCTGCATGTCACAATTTCTTTAACACAGCCTTTTTATTCCTGCCCCTGACGCTAGGGAGCACTCAGGAAGGCAGCACAGCTTTTTCAGCAGATGAATGCCACGAACCTTTAGCTCTCCCACAGCCACACAACCTGAGTGCATGCAGCTGAGGTGCTGCAGCAAAGGGCTGCAGACTGAGCCCACTTTGGGAGGGAGCACAGAGCCTGGCTGGCTCCATTTTTGTCATGCCCCATGGCCAAAGGAATGCTGCAGGTAAGAGGAGCACCTGAGCTTTTAAGATCCCATCTGCCTGGAGAGGGAAGCCTGGGCCTCAGTTGGCCACATGAGCCAGGATGCTCTCACTGTCTTCGAAGGCTCTTAGCTCTTCACTGCTGCCTGAAGGTCCTGTCAGCTTGCTAAGCCCATTGGCTCACATTATACTGCTGGCAGCACTGAAGTCTGTTGTTTTCTTCAGTGTTTTTGCAGGGAACCAGCAAACATAAAGGCAATCATATACTGAATAACTTGATTTTGCAACCACAAAAGTAGTAAGAGTAGAGTTGGGAAACCTCAGTCACTACCAGGTTGCCTTCGCCAGGCTGCCTTTGGAGTGGAAAAATTCCTCTTGGTTGGCACAAGGCAGGTTCTGAGCCCACCAAATCTGGGGGTTGGCACAAGTACCCCCACATTCTAGAATTTCATCTAGAACTCTGGGGCACCCGCAGGCCAATGTCCTCTCTGAAGGTGAGATACCTGCTGCTTATTAGCTGAAGCCTTTGTGTCGCTGCTAGGAACACTGCATTAGCATCACACTAGGGCAGCCCATTGAAAGAA